GGCAGCACAGGGTTCTCCCTGCAACAAATTCAAAAAACAAGACAAAAAACACCTCATGTGGCCTCCAGCCCTAGAGAAAACAAATCCGGGAATATTTGTCTATGAGAAAAAAAGACTCTCAAAGAAACTGTGTCAATAGTATCTCAGGAATACTTATCTGAGATAGATTGACACAACTTCCACCAACACCAGCCTCGAGAGAACAAAAGCCAATCAAATCTTACCTAGGTCAGAGTAAAAGTTCTGTTATTTTCTTTCCACAATAAGGCATTCCATACCTCCAGCCACTTTGAGGCAGTTAGCTGAAATCAGCTTGGGGTGCCAAAAACTACCCAGAAGTGGCTTGCAGGCACTGAGGCCAGGTGGGCTTTTTGCAAGTGTCTTGCCTGAGGCTTGTCTGAAATCTGGAAAATGGTCAAGAAGACATTGCAGGGGCGACCAAAATGCAGAAGCAGAAGCAGGCTGACGCAGGACGAACATGACAAGTGCTATACTGGAGACAAACAGACACAAAACAATTAGAGCAGACGCAAATTTGGTTCAAAGACCAATACCAAGTGCCAGCCAACATCTTGATCTGGGAACTGGTCCTGGGGAGTCTAATGTGTCCAACCTCTCCATGGATGTCTGAGGGGTGCCCCAGCTAACAGAAGCAGTCTTCCTGGTAAGGATCCCAAAGGCTCATTCCGTATTAGCCAGATTAGCATTCAAGGTTTTTGGTTTCACTTTGAAACAAAGTTCCTCAGGTGGTGGTGGTGGTGGGGAATCTCTCTAGTGGTCCCCTTGAGGAATATTCATCTCAAAGTGAGACTTGGATCTTTTAAATACCCTTATGGGGATCCTGGGTTAGCCCCCACATGTTGTGGGTTCATAATCAGTATAGGAATCCAAGTAGCTAAATAAAATTTGAAGATTTTTATTAACTGAGCTCAGCAACCATCAGCATAGACCTGCTTCAGAGTCTAAGTGAGCAGTCCTGACCAGCAGACATGGCATGTATATAAAGGGAATATGCAATATATCTTGCTTGTCAAACAAATTAGCACCCATCCTGCGTGTCAAAGCAGATTTTTTGTTGTTGTTGTTGTTATACATCTGGCTACTTTTTTTCCTGTCATTGTTTAGGATTAGTGCTTTCTCAGGATATATTTCCTCCATATGGTAGGCCTGTTTTTACAACTCTGGGGTCAGCTAAAATTTACCATGGCAGTACCTATGCTAAACGTGTGAGTTAGGCCATCACAGGTCTCACTGTGTGGTTCAAGCTGGCCTTGGACTCACTGTATAGTCCAGGCTGGCCTTCAACTCAGGACAGTCCTTCTGCCTCATCTTTCTGAGTGCTGGGAATACAGGTCTAGATGTTGATGGTTTCTTTTGCTGTGTGAAATATGAGATGACCCTAGTTGTTGATTTTTTTGTACCATTTCCTGTGTCATTGTGGTTTTCTTTATAAAGTCTTTGTGTACACATATATCTTCAACAGTTTTACCTGTTCTATCTTTTAGAAGATTGTTTTTATTTTAATATTTGGATCTTTGATCCATTTTGATTATAGTTTAGTGCATGGTGAATTATATGGATCTAACTTTAATCTTTTGCTTGTGGTGAGCCAGTTTGCCCAGCACAGTGTATTAAAGAGGCTATCTTTCTTCCAGTAAGGTGCTTGGCCTCTTTGTCAAAGACAAGGTGGCTGAAGTTGTTTGTTTGAATTGTTTCTGCATCTTCTAATCCATTTCATTAATCCTTGGATCTGTTTTTTTTTTTTTCTTCTGGTACCATGATGGTTTTATCATGCTAGCTTTATAATGTATCTTAAGATTAAGGATTGTGGTAACCCCACGCCTTGACTTTATTGCCAAGAATTGGTAGAATTATAGATCTTTTCTGGTTCCAACTGAATTTTAGTAATGTTTTCCCTCGTTCTGTGAGGCATGCTATTATTTTGATCAGATTGCATTAACTCTGTCTAATAGCTTTGGAGAAGTATGGCCATTTTTCACTATATTGGTTTTTCCTATCAAAGAACAAGGAATATTGGTTCTACTTTTGAGGTCCCTTTGCATCTCTTTTTTCAGAGTGTTGTAATTGTCATTGTAACAGTCTTACTTTCTTTGTTAGATTGATTCCTAAGTGTTTCATTTTTGTTGATGCTCTTTGAAAGGTATTGCCTCCCTAATTTCTCTTAGTGAGCTTGTTATTTGGATACAGGAAAACTATTTATTTTTGAGTGCTGACTTTGTATCCTGCTATGCTGTAAAAATTTGCTTATTAATTCTAGAAGTCTTTTGGTGGAATTTTTTGGATCTTCTATGTAGAGTATCATGTCATTCCCAAATAATTATGCTTTAACGTCTTCCTTTCCTGTCTTTGTTCTTTTTATTTCTTTCTTCTGTCTAATTGCTTGGGCTAATGTTTCTAAAACTATATTGAGTAAGAGTGGTAATAGCCTTGTTTTTGATTTTGCAATGAAAGTTTTTGTTGTTGTTCATTTAGTATGATGTTGATTGTTGGATTGTCATAGATGGCTTTTGTTAGATTGAGATGTAGACCTTATGTTTCAATTTTCTGTGTCTTTTTATCTTGAATGGGTGTTGAATTTCTCAAGAGACTTTAAAGAAGGGTTGGGAGATAGGTCAGTGGTTAAGTGCCTGCCTGGCAAGCCCAAATCCTGAGTTTGATCCCTGGAGACTTTAAAAATTTAATAAGTAATAGTTTATGACTTTTATGGTGGCTATTTGATTATATTTTGGCAAACATTAAAGAAATGAAAAGAAATTCAAAAGAAATAGTAACTGTAAAGGAAAGAAAGGTGATATTTGAAACTTGAAAAATCAACTTTAAATGTAAAACTAGTCAGACCACCTCAGTAGTCTGAGTGTTAGATGAGGAAAGAAAACAGTTGTAAAAGACATGAAAGACTTTCACTCCTGCAACTGAAAAATGCATCTGAACATCCCTAGAATTGGTCCTTTGTTCATTTACTGGCTAGTAGTTGCTAATTAAGAGCACTTCTTGGTGACAAGAAACCAACTCCCTTGAGCCGTCTCCTACCTGAGCTGCTTCTGAAGGCTGCCGTGGGGAGAATGTGCTGAGGTCTAACTATGGTTGTCAATCAGGACATCTTTCCACAGCTGTGACTCTTTTGAGGTTTCTGTAGGCACAGGGGTATGTGTACATGTTGGTCTCTTTACGCCCTCCCTGGCAGTAATTGATACCAGATATGGCTGTGGAAGGCCCTTTTATGTCAGGGCCTTCACACAGCTATAATCCTAGCCTTTAAAAAAAAAAAATCAAAAAATATTGTGACAGGGTCTTACTAAGTCACTAACTTGTCTAGGCAGGGCTCAAAATTGTAACCCTCCTGCCTGAGCCTACTGGAGTTCTGGGGTTGCACATATGCACTGCCATGTATGATTTCTAAACATGGCCAACTGTGGGTGAGTTCTTCTGTCTCAGCAATCTATGAGAAAACAGTTTGTGTCTGTCTGTTTTTATCTGTACCTGTCTCTGCATCTCTGTGCCTATTTCTCTCTCTCTCAGTACTGGACATTGAACCCAGGGCTTTGTGTATGCAGAAAGTGCTCTAACACTTACTTAGATGCTCACTTCTCTTTGTTTTGAGACAAGGTCTCACTGCGTTGTCCAGGCTGGGCATGAGCTTCTGATCCTCCACCCCAGCCGTTGCTGTGATGCTGCCTGTCCCCCACCTGCTGTGAGCTGTCTTCTACAGCTTCTCTAGCAACAGGGATGCACTAGGCTTGAGTTGGAACTGCATGTTCCCAGGCCAGGCTGCCCCTTGCACTGATAGTTTTTGTTGTTTGTCGAACAGTAACAAACAGAAAGTTTATTCTTACTGGTAACTGGCAATATTTTTTCTTGTGGAGGCTAAATTACTCCATTTATTATTTCCTAGTGGAGAAAAGAAATTTGTAACTAATAAAAAACCCCCCAAATCTAGATAGACTAAATTTCACTAGTATCCTTCAAAAAGAAAGGATGCACAAAAGTTATCTGCTTTGCCCTAAAGCAGATAACTTAACCATGAATTAAACACAGTTAAGAAAATTAATAATAATGACATTAATTAAAAATGTCAAAGCAGGCTTTCATCTAATCTTTTATCCATTGTCCATCTGCCCACTCACCCACCCTGTTTCTGTCTCTGTCTCTCTCCCTCTCTCCCACCATCCCTCCCCCTCTCTTTCTCCCTCCCACCCACCTTCCTTCCATCTTTCTCCCTCCCTTCCTCTGCTAGTATCTAGTGAAGCGTCTTTGCTAGTAGTATGTTTCTGGACTTAAAGTTGAAAAGCATACTTGCCAAGTGAGTCTATGGCTTATTAAAAAGCAGGAGGTGAGACTTTCTTACATTTCTCCTGCTTATAATTTTGTGTCCTTTTTCTGGGTGGTACTTGGAAATATTGCCTTGCTACTTGTGATGTTTCTTAGAATCAGCTGTCAAAATTAGACCTTCTAAGATCGGTGTGAGATGGTGCACAGCCGTAGGCCCAGCACCCTGGGAGATTGAGGTAGGAGGACTGCAAGTTTGAACTCAGACTGAGCAACTTAAGATCTTATCTCAAAACAAAGAATAAAAATGGCCTGGAATATGGTTCCGTTGTAATGTCCTAAATTCAGTTCCCTGTACTGGGAGGGAAAACTGAAAAATATGAGACCATCTAGGGGGCTGCCTTGTCTTCTGTGTTACCCCGTCAGTCATTCTCTAGCTGTCGATAAGGCTCAGCTTCTCGCAGCTGTTTACATCACAGCTGCACTCTCCTTGGCTGTATGATTCTGAGACTGCAGCGAGGAGACATACCTGAAAGGTGCAGTAAGTGTTTCTGAACCCAAATGTGTCTTCCCCTAGTCATTTTGGAAACACTTTCTCCTTTATCTGTTTTGATAGAATAGTTTTTCCTCTGTGATGAAGTGCTTATGCACAGCTGGTGTGTGCTGTGTGGGCCCTGGTGGCTTACTCACCATTTGGCTTCTTTTTGTTTCAGAGCGAAACATGCACATTTTACAGTACTGCCCCTCCTCCGACATCTGGATGCTCTTTGAAACCTGTGATGTCCACATCCGGAAGCAGCAAATGGTGTCAGTGGAGGAGACCATCTACATAGTGGGTGGGTGTCTCCACGAACTGGGGTCCAACCGCAGAAGCAGCCAGAGTGAGGACATGCTCACTGTGCAGTCCTACAACACTGTCACACGGCAGTGGCTCTACCTCAAGGAGAACACATCCAAGTCGGGCCTCAACCTGACCTGCGCACTCCATAATGATGGCATCTACATCATGAGCAGAGATGTCACGCTCTCCACCAGCTTGGAACATCGAGTTTTCCTGAAGTACAACATCTTTTCAGACAGCTGGGAAGCATTTAGGCGTTTCCCAGCCTTTGGACATAACTTGCTGGTTTCCTCTCTTTATCTGCCGAATAAAGCAGAAACATGACTGAACTGACCTAGCACTCTTAAAAGCCTAGTTCAAAACGTGCACACTGCATACATACACAAGGGAGGCTGATTTCTAAAGGGAAAGTGTGTGTTAAAGTAGTCACGGTAATGCCAGTAGCAGCTGTAAATAAGCTTCCTTGAACCAGTTACTTGAACAGTTGTGAAAAAAAGAGACCAACTTTATTATGTTTTAAATTACTGATTTTTAAATTTTGGGAACAAATCCATGATGTGTTTTCATCAAAACATGAGTAGAGTCAGTAACTAAAATAGATCATTAAAAACTAGGCTCATTGCTTGGTAAGGACTTAATTGATAAATGGTAAACACAGTTTTTAAACTTGATTTTTTTTCGGTTACTTGAAATTAGCATTAATATTCAAGTAAATTCTTTTCTGTTTATCGTTTTACTTGACAAACATCCATGCTAATGTTGCCATTCTCCCTCTCCTAGTCATACCCGCATGTTTATGAAAGGGTGCTGTGTTCAAGATATTTTATTTATGCACTGCTTTTCAGGAAACTTACAATAATGAAATGTTAAAGTGGATCTTGGAATGCATTCATTCCCACCACAACTTACATAAATTCATTCCCAACTATTTTTCCAAGTTATGGATGCTGAATAAATAGACTGATAAAACTTCCTAACTTGCATGTGGCAAATTGCAGATTGATGTCATTTACAAAAAATTGCACTGCCAGGCATTCTGTGTTTTAAAGAGGGCATAAAAGGATGGGTAGGTACATATATTTTTAAACTTGAGTCTTAAGTGAAAAGGAAATACCATATAGAAAGGAAATACCATATAGAAACAGTTTGCCTTTAAGAGCTTTTTTATTGACTGTATTTAACTTAGTTCTTATTTAAAGATCGAAACAAAACTATCATGTTTAAATTGGATGCTTTCTAATTTAATCTTAGCTTAATTCATGTTTTTCTTTTGTGGGCTGAAATGAGGATGGGTGCTGGAAAGAGGGGAAGACATTCGAGACACGCCCACCCTGCAGTGGTCTTCCTGAAGTGTTGGAAGGATTGGCTGCTGAGCGTGTTGGTTGGGAACATGAGCAGCTCTCACAGCACTATTAGTGAGCGACTAAGCAGTTAAGAGCAAGTGAAGTGTCTGCCAGTCACAGGCTGCTGATTTTTGGAAACACATACCTAAGCTGGGGATGTAGCTCAGCAGTAGAGCACCTGCATGCAGGAAGGCCTGAGTTCACTCCCAGCGCTAAACAACAACTTAGAAGAAGAATGTTAATTTAATTAAAAAACACTTTCAGAGAGTATCTGTTATTTTGTAGAACTGGGAGCCAAAGTCCTTTCCTTTTTTTTTTTTTTTTTTTCAGACATGTTTTGCCCCTTGCTAGTTCAGGCTGACCTAAAACTCATGATCCTCCTGCTCCAGCCTCCCAAGTGCGGGGATTACAGATGTGCCTAACACCCAGATAAAGTCCATTTTTTTTTTTTTTGCATGAATAGCAGGCTATAATTTCAGTTATTGAATGTCTTGTTTTAAGAAAGATCAGTAGAGAAAAAAGGTCATAATCAACACATTCCACAATTACACTTTGTGCTGTGCAGATGCGGTTCACAGGAGCTAATCACCAGATTTCTTAAGTTCACTCCAGAAGTCACGATATGGGTTTTTGTTTTTGTTTGATAACCCTGGCCTCTAGTGTATTTAAATGAAGGGACTACTTAGAAAAAAAAAATGGTATTGCACAACTTTTCAGGAACACATGTATTATTTTAAAGTGAGTAAGCCTTTATTTTGGACATGGAAAGGGGTCTTTGATGTCTTTGTATCTTGTTACCTAATAATTTTTTTTTTTTCTTTTCTCAGACTAAGTCTCGTTATGTAATTCAGGTTGACCTTGAGCTCTCTATGTAGCCCAGGCTGACCTGGAACTAATGCTGATCCTTCTGCTCAGCCTTCTCACTGCTGGAATTAAAAGCATTCACCACTGTAATTATTTGGCTTTACCAAATAGCCTGTCAGTAGTATATTTATAACACCATTTAAAGGTCAGTCTCTATCTCGTTCTGTCTCAACAAGTACTGTTGTAGTTCAGTCTGGCCTCAAACTTCTGCATGCTGGGATTACAGGTGTGTAGCACCACATCTGTCTCTGTGTGTGGGCTTCTAAACCAGACCCATTCATTCTCAAATTCTAAGTCTGTAGAATTGGCTGAAAACAATATATGCAGAGTAATCTAGCCCACTGAATTAGTACTGGATGAAAATTGGGGATTAGTTTATAAGTAACCACATCATATGAAGTATAAAGTATGCTGGCAACCAGTTCATTCTCTGACTATTTTCTTCAGTTCTATTTTTCTAATACTGATAATGAAACTCTTGGACCAAGCAAAAGTATACTCTGATCCAGAGTTATACACAGGTGTGTGTGTGTGTGTGTGTGTGTGTGTGTGTGTGTGTGTGTTTGTGTGTGTGAATGCCTGTTTGTATACCATTTCCTCTTAGGAGGTACGGTCTCCTAGTAAAACTTTGTTATTGGTTGTCACCAGTGTTTGGGAAAGGTAGAGTGTGTAGGAACAGACCTGTGGATTTTATGACATCTTTCCTGTGTGCATATGAGCCTTGCTAATATCTTGTGGGGAGTTTTAACAGTTCTGTGCTCTTATTCGTGTCAATGTTAGGTTAAAGTTTACTTAGGATGCAGGCGGGCATTGTTTCTTTGAAAATCTCCTCTCATCCTCTAGGATTGTCCTTTAATACCTCTTATTTTTCCCCCATTCATTGCTTTTCAACAAATGTTTCATTGTTTTTGTCCTGTCCTCCTCCCCACCCCCGTGCTTCTGAAGGGTTGTGACCTCCTTCTGTGGCTGGAGATTGGCTTCCCCACAGAGGATAGTCTGGGTGGTGGAGTGCCCTAGTATTTATGGTGGAAGGAGGTGGTAGTTTTGCCTGTCATTCTCTTTCCTTCCAGTACCCTTAAGAGGCCTTTCCCTTTAGTATCATTTAGAAGGTTTTATTATGAATGTGTAAGAGCTAATTATTTCAACAGTGTTAGTTAAGTTATAATAAAGTATTGAGAAGGTGATGGATACTAATATGAGGCAAACAGAATGAATGACTAAAGTGAAAAATGAAAACCAAAGAAAATTTAACTTTTTTTTTTTTTTTTTTTTTTTTGAGACAGGGTCTTGCTATGCAGTTCAGGCTGGCCTTGAAATAATGGAGCTCCTCTTGCCTCAGCCTCCCAAATGCTGGGATTATAGGTGTGCACCACCATGCCCAGCTACTCTGACATTTTTAAAAGACTAAGATTCCAAGTAATTCCAAATGCCTTAGATATCAAAGCTGTACTGGCATGGATAGTGCTTTTTCTCCACAGAGGGAGTAATGAAGTAAATTCTTTCAGTGAAGAATTGTTACAGAACCTGGAGTGTGCATTGTTTTCAGGTTTCCAGAGAAGGTGAGAAGCCTGCCGTATTGAACAGAAAGGCAACTGGAGGTAAAAGATCTTGCTCTTTCTTATCAACCAGCACTGAGTGGATAGTGGTTTGATGGTCTCAGGAAGATGGATGAGTGTCAGATGCTTTCCTCCTAGAACAAGAACAGGAATATGTAGCATCTTGGGGTTTGAGTGGCATTAGGAAGTGTGGCCCACTTTTTATGGCAGGATTTGATTTCAGAATCCACATCAAATCAGTGTTTCAGACACCATTACTATTCCCTCAGAGTGTTATGAAGCCTGTTTTCCCTGCCTGCCTTAGACATGAGAGTGAAATTGAGTAGCTCTCTCTCAAAATGGCTTTAAAAGCAGTGAGCTGATTTAGCCCAATTTCCTGGTTATCAGAAGTACTTTGAATGTGTGGACCACGTTAAGAATAGTCTCCAACCCTGAAGAGCTTACAGTGGTGTAGCAATGTCCACTCTAATGGTCTTGACCAGGGCTTCCTGCTCAGATATCCTCTCACCAGGTTCCTCAGGCTCTCTGTCTGGTCTGGCAGCCTCTTCAGGCTTCCCCAACCTGACCTTTGCTTTTGTGACTTCAAAAGTTCTTCTTTAAATCTGAATATGTCCTATGTTTTAGTTTTTTGACTGTGCTTTTTTGGTACATTGTTTAATCTCTATGCTTCATTTTTGTGAAACACTAAAACTGCATGCAGTCTGCTTCATTCATGTTCACAGAGCTCTGTGGCCTTTCCCACTGACCTTGTCAGAGGGAAGCCAGGAAGAGTCTGGAGGCAGGAAGAGTCTGGAGTGGGGCAGGTGGAGGGCATGTGTGTTTACCTGTATGCCTCTGAAACACTTTCATATAAAGTATTATTAAGAATTATCCACTCAGACACCAGTCCCTACTGAAGTCAGTTGATCGTGCCTTTCTGATAGCAGCTGTAGTTTTCCATCTGTATGTTTCATTCACGTAAGAATGTTCTTCCTTTCCTGTGTTAACTTAGGAACATACTCTGAAACCTACCTGACACAGGCGGAGACCATACTTGCCATAGTTACTCATACTACTTGACATTGTTACCCATTCCTCCACAAACTAGACTATGGATAATGGCCAGTTTGAAGAGCAAAAGGGTGCTAATACAGCTTTTATAGGTTGGCCAGTGCTTTATCAGTTGATTGTCATAGTTTATTATTAGTGAGGAAAAGAAAAAGGAATATGTGATTTGGATTATTGTGTCACTTAAATTCTTGGAACAGGGGCACTTTATATCTGGCCCTACAATTTTTCTTTCTACTACTCATTTGAAGGCTATAGAATGTATAATGGTATATTGTTTAAATCTCTGTTAAAAAGGTCCTATTGAGGCCTCAGTTTCAAGTGTGGCTTAAAAATGGGAACACTATGCTATGATTCACTGAAATGTAACGATGCCTGTGAAGCACTCACTGTAACAACATTCACTCGAACTATGGAAGGAAAATTCTTCAAATAAAATATTCTAAATCTGTTTTTATTGTGTGTGTGAGGTTCTGTCTAAAGCTAGCTATGTGATTGGGCTCTCCCAGAGTAGGGAGGAAAATGGGGTGGGCCAAGAACTCCTGAGCCTTAGGTGCCAGGCCAGCTTGGTAGTCCTGTTGGAGGGAAGAGGCATGCTGGGCAGCCAGGCAGGTGAGAGGTGCTGGGAAGAGGGCCTCAGATTACTCAGCATTCCTGGACTATTCTTCAGTCAGCCCCATGTGAATTCTTGAGTCCTTAGACTTCTAAATAAAATTGAAAGTCCAAATTCCACTGCTTAACATGGTCTGTCTCTATGTTCTGAAACTATTTTCACTTAACTTTTAGTGACTTCCAAGGTGGTGCACACCTACTGTCCCAGCACTTGGGAGGCTGAGGCAGGAGGATTGGTGTGAGTTTGAAGCTAGCCTGGGCTACATATTGACACCCTGTCTCAACCCCCCCCCCCAAAGACCTCCAAAGCAAAACAACCTCTTTAATTCAAAAAAGTTGAAATACACAAGCCCTGGCTTTTATATAGCTGGTTCTGATTCCGTGTGGAAGACAGTGCTGCACAGTGGCCTAGTACACACTGCTCCAGGGCTGTTCCTTTCCTTCTAGTCTTTGCTCAGTGTGTTTCTTACAGTCTAAGAAAGCAGCCTGTTTAAAATTTTGTCTCAAAAAATCCAAAGACAGCTACCCTCCTTCCCAAGCAGCTGCATCCAGTGGTAATCTATGGTTCACTGATTGCCAAGTCTTAAGGTTGATAGGGATGTCTACCCCTCCCCAGTGCATGGATGATCACTGAATTTTGACTGCCTGTGAATTACTGTTTCCTATTCTTCCAGAACACAGGCTGAGGGAGGAAGCTGACTGACGGAACAGAACAAGAAGACATCATATGAACTGTGCATTAACTGTACCAGGAACTCTTAAGCTTCTTAATATTTAAGTCACCGAGTCCTCACATTGATCCCATGCAGTAAATACAAATATGATCCCCACTTTACAGTTGAGGACACAGACATGATGGGTTGAAAATTGCCAGTTGGGAAAAAAGCAAAAGAGAATGCTACATGCAGTTGTTCCTGGTTCAAAGTACACACTTGTCTGCTGGTGGAGCATAACAACGCTCCCTGCCCAGTGGGTTTGGAGGTTGGCCAGTCTGGTTCTGCTTTGCAGAAGGGTGACCCCTGGCTGTGCCTGACTGGCATTAGCTGTACTGGAGCCCTCTTGCTACTGGTGCAGCTACAGGAGGTATGTGAAGGGAATCCCCCAAACCTGTGAAGGCTGAGGGATCCCAGGGCCTTTTATGTCCATCAACATTTCTTTGGCAATAAAACCACCTTAAAAACTCAGATCCATGTGTGGTGCTGCACATCTGTGATCCCAGCACTCTCGAGAAGCTGAGGCAGGAAAATCACAAGTTCCAGTCCAGCCTAGGTGATTTAGCTAGACCCTATCTTTAAAAAAAAAAAAAGCTGAGGGAAGTCCTGTGATCAATCCTCAGTACCACAAAACAAAAGAGATGCTGGTAGGGTGCTCTAACAGCTCTGTGGGATAAAGGCCTACAGTTAATGGAGCTCAGTTTCTTGAAGTTAGAGCCCACCTTTGCCATTTCTCTTGGCCCTGTGCTCCCTGTCCAGATGGAGAATCTTGAAACAGTATGGCCCATTCCGTTTATGCCTATTCCGGACTACATCCCAGGAAATGCTGCTTAGTACGAAGCTTGTGTGTATACAGCAGGAAGGGCTTGAGAGATAAAATTCTTGCCCTATTTCTTAGCTTCCCCCAAGGCTCAGTCCTACTGTATTTTCCTGATTGCTAAGGAAGTTTCAACTGAAGCAGAGAATCTGCTTGCATAGTTCTGAAGACAGAGCCTTTGCCTCTCATCTAGCCTCTGACTGCTGGCTGCAGGCAGAAGACTTTGTTTTAAAAAGGTCTTCCACCATCTGGTTGTGCAATGCTTGTCACACTACTCAGTCTCCCAGACCTCAGTTTATCTGTAAAGTAGGAACAGCAATAGTACCCACTTTATGGAATTAGAGCAAGAACTATCTGAAGAAATCTATGTGAAGCACTCAGGCAGGAGTCTGGTATGCAGTGGGCACACTATTGGCCATTCCTTTTATACCTTCCAATAGGGCAGCTTGGCTGGAAGGCTTTCACTTCCTTTTTTTTGTATACACATGCAAACACATAAACATATTTAAGTCAATACTATACAGTATATATAATAGGATATAGCATATACTATATATTATATATTAATATATATATGATATGTATATTTATATTGACTTAACATTTATTTTTATTTATTTATTTTTTGATTTTTTTTCTAACCTTTGTCTTTTTTTATTTTTATTTTTATTTTTTTGGGTTTTTTTGCAATTTTTTTTTCAACAAATAATACACTGCATATATTCTTCTTAGTGGTTAATTGCTGTACAAGATGCGGACCTGTGATCCTATTTACAAACACCATTAGAACAAATCATTCTATTCATTAACAGAATGTAACTATATATCTATCCCAACC